TTCCTATTCTCCATAATTACCAAAGTTATTATTAAAAGTAGTATATAAAAAGTAGTTATTAAAAAACGTTGTTTTTCTCTACAAATTTGTGCCGCTAATTACAATTGATTATTTTTTGTCGCAATAATATCGTAAAAAATAAGAAAATACAGAATTGGTGGGATGAATAAAATATCGTAACCAGAAATTCGTATTTAGGAATAGATTGTGAATGCATAAATTGTAAATAGACACTCACGCGATGCGCAGAACCGCTGCAATCTGATAAAGCAGCAGCACAGGAAGCAATGTACGCGATCATAATATCGTTGTGCAGTGCATAAAGCCATGTTGATGTGTCTGTACATCTCTGTGTACGTGAATGAGCTCGTATAATCGTGTGCGTCTTATTCGCGTCAAGAACGGTGACGAAACTCTCATTTACCAATTCTGAAAAGTAAGGCGTTACAGTTACAGTTACTCGAAGAGTAACGAATCGTTACTTTGCAGTTACTTTCTTGCAATAAAAAGAAAAATATCAAATCTGCATTTGAATTGTAAAGTGTCGATAAAGGCGTTTATGTGCAAATGCAAGGCCTAATGCGATCTGTGTTAATGTAATTTTTTTTTGGTAAAAGTACATAAATTTATATATGCAATTTTACATACTTTTTTTACAGTGCGGAACACTTATACATTTTCCATGTGTGTATATGCAAAATGTATAAATGTGTGGATATGTGCACAAATTCATGTGCAAAGGCATCAGTGATTTCTAGTGTATATTCATAACATTCCACGCGTCGTCAATTATATATGCAAATATCACAGATCTACCATCAATCTTTGCCAACAAAAGATTACAACTTGTTCTTTAACTGGTTGCACTTTCCATCGAAATGTCATCTATGTACAAAATGCTTTATCACGAGTTCATATTGACCGTCGACGTGTTTTACAGCGAATGCTAGAGATTGTTTAGTGAAACTTTGCATAGCCGGTGAAGAAGTGAAATCTGATTAGAGCTGCTCGCACTTTTAACATCGGCAAAGTAAACTTTTGTAATCGTATGTCTAGGTAGCCGACACGCAAAATGGTGGCATCGCAAAATGACGGTGGCAGAAGTATGGGCGGCGGCGGTGGCGACGGCGGCGGCGGCGATGACACGGTTTACACGGTGACCGTGAGCGGGGTCGGTTACAGGAACGAGGGCTACAAGGACGACGGCACCGACGGCATACCGCCGGAGCCGCAGAAGCCGCCGCAGTTTCCGGCGGCGGACGACGACACGCAGTCGCGGAAGTTCAAGCTGTCGCGCGGCGAGAAGTGGCGTATCCTGAAGAACATCGGCACCGTTTCGATCGCCTTCATGGTGCAGTTCACCGCGTTCCAGGGCACGGCGAATCTGCAGTCGTCGATCAACGCCAGCGACGGCCTCGGTACCGTCTCGCTCTCGGCCATCTACGCCGCCCTGGTGCTCTCGTGCATCTTCGTGCCCACTTTCCTTATCAAGAGGCTCACCGTCAAGTGGACCCTCTGTCTGTCCATGCTGTGCTACGCGCCGTACATCGGCTCGCAGTTCTATCCTAAATTCTACACTCTGGTGCCCGCTGGAGTGCTCCTGGGTCTCGGCGCCGCGCCTATGTGGGCCGCTAAGGCCACGTATCTGACACAGGTCGGCGGTGTCTACGCCAAGATCACCGACCAGCCGGTCGACGCCATCGTCGTACGGTTCTTCGGCTTCTTCTTCCTGGCGTGGCAGACGGCCGAGCTCTGGGGCAATCTTATCTCTTCGCTCGGTAAGTCGACAGCTCCAAGTTTCCGATTGTTCGAGTCACTATATTTTAACGCTTTGGAAACAGCCCTGTGTTTGAGTTTGCAAAACTGCAACCTGATATGTCTGAAATGTTGTAATTCGAGTATTTTTGAAGTCAGAATGCTTGACTTGACATCAGAATGCAGAATTAAAGAGCAGATAACAAGAGAAGCTTCTGGCCTACGGTATAAAGATAAGGGCACGCTGATAAAATCAATGCAACCCAGATAGCACACGTGTCTAAAAGACATCATAAAGATATATGTAAGACGTACACGTCTAAAAGATATCTTAAAGATATCTTTATGACGTCTTTTAGACACGTGTGCTGTCTGGGAAACTACATTGATTTTGTAATCGATTTGTCACGCCTCCTCTGGCGTCTACATCATTTATTCATATACGTATAATTAAAAGCTATTATCGGAACAAATTAGATTGAAGTGTCGATTTCTGAGAATAATATTAGTCTCTAATCCTCACCGTCAAAGTTAGAAGTGATTAACGAGCAGTTTTGCTCGTTGCCAGTTATGCTACGCCATTGTACGTACTTTCGCAAAAAGCAATTCTCTTTGTCATTCATGAGCGCGTAATAAAGACATTCTCTACATCTCAATAATACCCACACGATATCTCAATACTATCGCCGTCTGTTTTTCACGCTCAATTACCAGCGGCTCACAATATATCCGTTAATGCCGCGCAAATATTCCAGTAGAATGTGTGCACAATTGCGTATCAGCTTATCAGCTTAGATTATGTTGTTCATTAACTACATTTCTATTCTACAAATAGAATCTTAAATGAATGCAAACCAAGAGTTGAGCCTATCTAGCTAAACATATATGTAAACAACACCCCGTTTAAAATAATAGATAGAATACGATCAGGTTACATTAGATTACATGCAATTTCAATGTAAATTAACAAGACTTACTTATTTACATCGAAATTGCACGAGATCTAATGTGAACTGATTCAATTCAACTGAAAATCAAATTCGAGGAGCTTTGCACACGGCCCTGTTTAAAACATTAGATAGAATGTGATCAGATTACATTAGATTACATGCAATTCCAATGTAAATTAATAAGACTTACTTATTTATCTCTATATATTTTGTAATCTCATTGTATTTGATCTAATATTTTAAACAGAGCCTTGTGCAAAACTCCTCGAAATTGATTTTCAGTTGAATTAAATAATCTTCAAGGTAAACACAAAAATATCGGCTTACAACTCTTCAATCCCCCTAAATCGGTAAAATTTCGCGTGCAGTAGGCGCGCAGTAGAAACGGACGTTGCAGTCAGACAGACATTGCAGTCAGACAGTCCGACTAAACGCTTGGCGACTCCCCTGACACACGTGTATCCTCGCGTCTTCACACTGTCTCGCTTCCGCTGTGTGCGTGAGGGACAACGTGGTCAGTGAGGGACTCGTCGAACGAGAGAAGCCGTGAGTGCGACGGAGAGAGAATCTCACGCTCGCCGGGAAGAAACAAGATTAATCCGGTATAAACCCGCGGCAGTCGGTTTCCGTACTACCTCGTACGCATTCCCCGATACCGCGTGTATTTGTATACACACATACACGCGCGCGCAAAGTATCATTGTGTGTCGGAATTACGTGTGAAGAAACGTTTCTTCGATTTCTTCGCTCGTCGAACGTCTCTCCCACGGCTGAATTCGATCTGACGCCATTTCGACATCCGGTAATGCTCCGCGTTGCTTTGATTATCGAATTGGTGCACCGGAAAAGCTGCGAAGTAGAATATGTCTGTGTTAAAATTACAATTGAACAATAACTTCAAAAATTAGAATTTAAATAATTAACTGACGTATAGATAGAGAGAACTAGTGATATAGTGCACATTTACCACAGTTGGGCCTTTCGTCAAACAAGCTTGACTACAAATTTATATGAAATCTGTAATTATATTATAATATGTATATATGCATAGTATTAAGTAATTTTGATATTCAATGTTTGATACATTTTAGTGATAATGAAGTACCGGATGAAAGTATTCCACTTCATTTCAGCAAAATGTACACGGCTACGTAGACAAGTTCGTCTTAAGTCATTATCAATCACTTGACGGACAGAGAAAAGCCGATGCCATTGGCACCAGGCAACATTTGCAAATAACCAACAAAGGTCAAGATCGTTTTGAGTCCTTGTCGAGGTCGACATGTGCGCAATATTACAGCGATGAATGGCCGGTAGCGGCACGAAGGTTACAGATTGCATGGGCAGGTATTACTGAATAATTCCTCGAAAGCGACGAGATCTTTGCGGAATGATTCGATAATACTTGAAGATAACGAATTTCTTATGCATTATGACATCGATGATGGAGGAAGTCGATTAAATATACCTTGCACACATACGCCGACCGCATTTATATAACACGATCAATTATTCTAAAGGACCCGGTTTACTTTTGCCGAACTAATTAAAGCCTCGACACTTTTAATTACTTTATTAGTAGATTATAATTAAATGTATGTCCCTGAACCTGCAATCTTAATATCAGTAGCAACCTTTCTGGCTGCATGTAAAAACAATTTTTTTTTTTACAAAAAGAATTGCAAGGAAGGCCATCGCTTTTGCAATCTTTTAATATTAAATATATCAATAATCGAATTACGACATTCAAACTGTGAAAGAGATAAAGTTCATCTGAATTTAAACGGACAATTATTTTATTTTAACTTATCTTTCTTTTAACCTTAACTTAAACATTTAATTCGTGTTGTCCTTGGTTCAAAATGCTTAAACTATTTATAGCTTAAACTAATTAGCTTTATTTAAGAAAACTGTAGAATGTAGGATGTAAAATGTAGAATTGAATAGAGATACATCTGCGTTTGTAAATTTCGGCACTCACTTTCCGTCTGCGACATGTTAAATTATACACATATTATTGTATAATACATACAGGCACTTTCCACGGGCACAGTGATTTTCTAATGTAACGAAACTAAGAAACATGTTGCAAAAAGTGTGAAAGATATTGGAACAAAAATTATGATATCTTTAAGAGATTTGTCATTGATTTATCGCGTAAAGTCGCACAGCTTGCGGTCGCATGACTGGACTGAACCGATCTCCGTAGCTTCGTGCTCGCACGATAACTGCATGAAAAAGGCAGACATTTCCGACAATTGGTGACGATAGTGGGGAGAATCGTAAAACACACGACGTAATGTTATTAGCGTCGCTCCTTGGTGAAAGTTTCCCCCGGTCGGCGCGCACGGATCATTCAATACAGATTTCAGAATGCCGATAGGTTTTACCCAGAACCATCGATTAATTCCCGTCCCGGAAAGTGCCTGAACATCCGCGTGAAGTTACGAACGGCAAAATCGCCCGGCATACCGCGGCGATAGAAGATGAAAGTCCGTACGTGCCAGTAGTTCCGGTCGATGATTTAACCGGCGAGAGAAGCGCACGGCAGTTAATTTTTCACGGCGACGCGACGTAACGCGTGCCGCAATTTGCGCCGGGCCGATTTCTCGAGACACTCGGGGAAGACTTTATCGTCACGTAAAACGCGCACTACCTTGTTACACATTAGGCGACTTTTAGCGACTGTTTGGTACGTACATCCCTAGTAGCACAGTATATTGAATCAATATTGGGAAATAACGTAAGTCTAGTATTCCCAATATTGGTCCAATATTGTAAGATGGACTTCTCTTATTTAGCCACCCGGAAAAACACTGGAAATATCTCATTATATATGTCTCAATCATGTAATATCTAATTATATCACACGCGCGAACAATGACTCGCGTATGGGAGCCGAATTGCTGCACCTCGGGGCGCGGGCTCCTGGTCGTATCCGATTCGACTCGACGCGTCGAATACCAACGAGATCCTTCGAGGAGCAAACGAGCGCATTCGAACGCGCATCGTGCGCTTCCTCGTTGACGGCACACGTGTGCGTGGGCCAAGGCTTTGCTTACGCAGCTGCATAGGAATTTCTTCCTCCGGTTATCTCCGCGAGCAATTCTCCGCTACGTCTCACCGCGATCGGTTCAGTGATCCCGACCTGTCAGCGAAGTCTTCAACAGGATCACTGTTCGGAAATAAAATGGCTTTTATGACGACGCGAGATGCACGTGAGCTCCGTCCGTCGCGGGATTTCTTCGCGTTTGCGTGCGGAATCTTCGCGCGGGATGACTTCGCAATCGCGGGGGATGCTGGAGTCTGTCTGTTTTACCGACAACGCGAAAGTTATGTATGTGTGCGTATATGTATATTACATAAAAAAGAAA